TCCAAGACTGAGTAGGTGGGAGATTACTGATGAGCTCAAAGAGGCTTTGTAAGTGGTGGAAGTTGTCTGTATCTTGATTAGTGAAATGGTAACATGGATGTATATACATTTGTCAAACTCATTGAACTTTTCAAGTCTTCTTCATGTCCTATTGATTATTCCTTAATATAGTGATTTTTTTGAAAAAGATTTTTTTTCTATTACTTGTGTGTATAGGTGTGTGTAATGTGTACATGTGTGTTCAGGTACCCACAGAGGCCAGAGGGCTGTTTTATTTTTTGAGCTGCCTGTCAGGGGTGCTGGAAATTGCAGCAAGCACTGTTCACCACCACTGAGCCATCTCTTCAGCTCTAACATGGTTGATTGAAAAAAGAAATTAGTCATGGTGGTGCATGCTTTTAAATTCCAGCACTCAGGAAGCAAAGGCAGGAGGATCTTTGTGAGTTCAAGGCCAGTCTGGTACAGATAGTGAGTTCCAGGACACTCAGGGAGTGGATTCTCATGACCTCATTGTATGTGAGAATGAATGCTTAAATGAAACAGAAAAATACACTCTCCATGCAATTAAATTAAACAGTGGTACAAATTGGAATTTTCTGTGTTTAGGCTGTGTGGGAAGTAACCTGTGTATCTGAGTGCACAGGTATGTTGTAGTTCACGTTTAGTTCATTGCCTTTATAAACTAGGTAATCTATAAAGACAGGATTACTTGAGGTGGCACAGTCCATAAATGTGGTCCTTGCGTCTGCTAATTATTTGGTGAGGATGTCGCAGTGTGATGGCTTGAACGAGATGTCCCCTTAGTCTTGGGCGTTTGAATGGATGGTCTCCAGTTGGTGCTGCTATCTGGGGACGCTTAGGTGGCAGGGCATTGCTGGAAGGAGTATGTAACTGGGGGTAGGATTTGAGGTTTAAAAACCCAGGCCTTTCCTAGTGCCCTGCTCCCTGATGATTCAAGATGTGAGCTCTTAGTTTCCACCTCCAGCAGTCATGCCTCCGCTCTGCCATCATGGACACCTCCCACTCTAACCACAAGCCCAAATAAACTCTTCTTAAGCTGACTTGGTTGTGGTGTTTTATCGCAGCCATAGAAAGGTAACTAATATACGTTAAGACAGCAAGTGTGCTAGCATAGCATATCTCTCTTCTCTTAAGGAGTCGTTGATGTGATCAGGAAAACCCCGCACTCATGACTGATGTCTCAGAACCCTGTCATCATACTGTTAGTGTGCAAATATGAAGGTTACATTTCAACACATGGACTTTTGGTGAATGCTTTAAGCTGTAATACACAAACATATATGTAGATATATGTATGTACTTCCTATCCAGAGAATATAGGGAACTTTTACTAGCAGGGCAGAGATGTGAATATCCATGCTGGGAAGAGGATGTGCAAACAGTGAGCTCAGGAAAGGTACTCTGCAGGGCTCTTCTCAGAAGAATGCAGATTAGAGTCCTCATGCAGTACCAACCCACAGGATGGCAAAAATAGAGCACCGAGTGATGGGGAATCTGGAGCGACTGTTGTCCTCCTACGTGGAGAGGCTGCAGGTGGGAGTGTAGTTTGATAACCAGCTTGAAAAGCTGGCAGCATGCCCATGTCTTATGACTCACAGTTTCTCTAGATACTATTCTGTGGTATGCGTATGCCTAGGTAAGTCGTCAAGGTTATCAGCTTATTTCTAAATAGCCACAGAATAGAATGTCTCTAGCTATCTATAAATAACAGAATGGTTAAATTATTTTAAAACCAAACAAGAGAATACAAAAAATGAGAAGGAACACACAATAAGTTTCACAGAATGATCATGAATGATTATAGTCAAAAAGCATAAAACTCCATGTATGTAAAATTCAAAACTAGACCAACTATAGTAGCAAATGCAGCATTTGAGAAACTGAGGCAGTAGGCTGGAGAGTTCAAGGCCATCTTGGGCTTTAAAGTAAGATGCTGCCTGCAGCCCACCAAAAAGCAAGTAGTATAAAATGATTTTTGATAGAACCAAACAGGACCGGCAAAAACAAAATTAAAAAAAAAACCAATGAAATGATTCCTAATGATGCTCTGCTATACTCATAGATCAGCACCTAGCTCGATAGTCAGCAGAGACCCACAGTCAAACATTAGGTGGAGCCCAGGGGAATCCTACAGGAGAGGAGGAGAAAGGATTATAGGAGCCAGAGGGGTTGAGGATACCACAAGAACTTGACCCACAGAATCAATTTAGCTCACAGAGACCGAAGTGACAGTCATGACCTCTGTGTGGGTCTGAGCGAGGTCTGCTATATATGTATATTATGATTGTGTAGCATGGTGTTCTTGCGGGACTCTGGGAATGGGGTGTCTCTGACTTCTACCTGTTCTTGGGGCCCTTTTCCCCCAACTTGGTCTCCTCGTCCAGCCTTAATATGTCTGGTCTTACTATAATTTGTTGTGCCATGTTTGGTTGATTGCCCTGGAGGTATTCTTTTCTGAAGTGAAATGGAACAAGGAGATGGGGTTGCCCCTGAGAGGAGTAGAGGGAGGGGAAACTGATTGGGATGTAATATATGAGAGAATTAAAAAAAAAAAAAAGGAAAAAGTGATTTTTGTTAAAGTATTAGAAACCAAGATTGTGGTTACTTTTGGGGAAGGAATTGGTTCAGGACACAGCTGGACTTCCCACAGCCCACTTCTTAAGTACAACTAGTTTACTAGGATGCTTCCTTACACTCAGGGAACCTCCTGTGTTCACTTACTCAACACCAAAGTTATAGCCACGCATACCAATGAAGTTATGAGCAGGGCAAATCCTGTGGAGACAGTCTGTTGCTTCAACATGGCCATTAGACACAGCATCCTCAGGCCTCCATATGCTACCTAAAACTGTTAGATCCTTTCATGGAGTCTTACAGGTGTGAGTGAAACGTGGGAAACTATACAAATGTCATGGACACAGAGGCTGAGGTCTTAGCTCAGTTCCTGGCACACAGATAGCAAATAACAATGACTAAAAGGCTAAACCTGATCCCTTTGGGGCCAGTTTGCCTCTGTATCCCTGAAAAGCAAATGCCTATCTGTGTGGGCTGTGTTCAGTTGTAGAAGACATAAAATCCTCTCTGTGGGCCGTGAGCGCTGACATCAGTTTTGTTTCCTGTTTGTGGATTCGCTCTTCTTCCTATATGGTCTCAATTGGATTGGGCGGAGCTGTGAGTCCGTTTCATTTGAATCTTCTTGCGTAACATTGTCTGTGGTATTTCTGCTTATATATAACCACCTGAAGCAGGTTCAGTGTCTTAGAGACTAGTCAGCCTTAGAGGAGATCCATAGAAATCTGAAAAATAAGACTAAGCAGGCTTTATGGTTTTGCTTTTGTTACTGTGGACTATTATTATTATTTAAACCTAGACACAACAGCCTATCAAAAGTATGTTTTAACTTGGTGTGATGGTGCAAGCCTGTAATGCCAGCTCTTGGGAAGTCAAAGGAGGAACACCGAGCTCAAAGGTAGTCTGGGCTACATAGTGAGCCCTTCTGTTGTAAAACAAGGGCCAGTGAGATGACCTAATGAGTGAAAACACATGCTGCCAAGCCCCACCCCATAGTGTGACCCTGGGACCCACCTGGTAGGAGGAGAGAACCAGCTCCTCCATGTTGTCCTCAACCACGTGTACACCATGGCATGCTCGCATGCTCCTGCTGATTGGTGCAAATGTGCACACGAAATAAATAATTCACTAACTAATTAAAAATAAGCCATAACCTCCCCTAAACTATCATTTTTTCTTTAGCTTTATCTTTTTTACAAGAAATGAAAACTATAAATATCAGTGCTTGGGATGTATCATCTCATTTAAATTTATTAAAACATCGAGCAGTAAAAAAATGAAATAACAGTAGAAAGAACTGCTTGCTAAGAGCACAGCAAGATCCTCTGCCAACTATTTAGAATACTTTCAGCCATAGTTTTGTCAGAGAAAGGCACAGAGGTCCCTATTCTGAGCTAAATAAGAGATGAACCGTTGACCTAAGAGTTCCCAGGTTTTTAAGTTCTCTTCTAGTTGCATAATGCAACACTGCCTTTCCTGAATGAGAAGCATATATCTGTGCCTTAGATTTCTTGTAGGTCTTGTGTCTTCGTTGACCTATCCTGTGACTAGGATATGAACATAAAATGCAGGATGTTGGAACTGGGAGAAGTCATTGTTGTTGCTAATAAGACCCAACCAGCTACTCACATGCTCTTGGGGCTGCTTCGGTGCTTCTCCTGACCCACCCAGTACAATTATATGTAACTTATGGGGCAAGGATTGTTAGGGTTAGATTTATTTTTCCTATGTGAATAGATCTGTCTATGCAGCTAGGTTTTTTGTTTCATGTTGCAGAGCAGCACAGATACTGAACCAACAACCAGGGAACCTGCATGGGACTAACCTAGGCCCTCTGCATGTGTGTTACAGTGTGAACTTGGTCTTCTGTGGGAGTCCCAACAGTGGAAACAGAGGCTGTCTCACTCTTTTGCCAGCTTCTGGAACCCCCTTCCTCATACTGGGTCACCTTGCCCAGCCTTAATATGAGGGGAGGTGCTTGGTCTACTGCAACTTGATATGCCACGATTGGTTGATATCCATGGGGGGCCTGTTCTTTTCTGAAGGGAAACGGGGGTGGGGAGCTAGGAGGGGAGGAAGGAGAAACTGCAGTAGGGATGTAAATAATGATAATAAATCATTTAAAAATCATAACTTCATCTTAAACTGTATGTACACACAGTTATTCATTTTCATTATATTTACTTATATACAAAATGTTTTGGGAAAATAAGAATGCAGAGTAATTCAGTTTTACTCCGTGAACTGTGTTTTAGCTAGTGCCAAGTAAAAGCAGATTTATGTAAAAATTGGGGTGGCCATGTTTAATGAGAGTCACCCTGGAGGCTGCCACTTGTCTGTAGAGTAAAGAGGTTTTCAAGTCTGGGATTTTCAAAACTCCACGTCTCTGTGTGATTTGTATTTTTCAGCTGAGAGAAGAGAAGTTACAGGAAGAAAAAACTTGTGAAGATAAGATCCACAAGGTACTGCAGGAGGATTCAGAAATGGGAAAAAGGAAAACGGATGAACAGAAAACAAGAGATGAGCCAGTGGTGCTGAAAACAACTCTGGAGCAGGTCAGTGGGCACCTGGGTGGACATCTGCCCAGTCTGCCGTCCAGCCAGGGAAGTGGGTCTGAGAGCTCTGTGCAGCCTAGGAGTAGGGAAGCACTTCCCATCCAGATGGAGATGGAGGAAGCAGTTTTGAATGGGGCAGTGACAGCCTGGGTCAGTGTGCTACACGTGATAAGATTTGTATGTATACCATCATACTGACGTATGTGCTGGTTTTTGCATTAAACTTCATACATCTTAACATCTTCAATTAGATTTTTTAAGGTTTATTTATTATGTATACAGTATTCTGCCAGCATGTATGCCTGCAGGCCAGAAGAAGGCACCAGATCTTATTGATGTTTTTGATTGTTGTCAGCCTCCATGTGGTTGCTGGGAATTGAACTCAAGACCTCTGGAAGAGCAGCCAGTGCTGTCAACCTCTGAGCCATTTCTCCAGCCCTCAAGCATCTCTCTAGCCCTCTGATTTCTTTTAAGCTGTATTTTACTTTCCTTTATCCTCTGTAATCCCTTGAGCAGAACTATGCTTAGGTATAAGTACATCCTCAGCCAGGCATGGTGGCACATGCCTTTAATCCCGTCACTCTGGAGGCAGAGGCAGGAAGGTCTCTGTGATTTTGAGGCCAGCCTGGTCTACAAATCTTGACCCAGGATAGCCAGGGTGGTTACACAGAGAAAACCCTGTCTTGAAAAACAATAACAAAAAAAATACGTTCTCCAATATTAGATGAGTAGTCTAAGCTTACCCAGTTAGGCACATGATTGAGCCAACTCTTGCTTGAACATATCCATTACTGTTTTTTATTACTTACTTGTATGTGTATAAGCAATGCATACCTTGACACAAATGTACAAATGTGACAGTCAAAAGATAAGCTGTGAGAGTTATTCTTCTCTTTCCATCACGTGGGTCCTGGGGATTGAATTCAAATCCCACCAACCTATCTGACTGTACCAAGAAAGTACGTTTTGAAAATGTACTTATATTCGCATAGAAAAATAGGAGTTTAATGCCAATTCTAGTTACAGTGGTTTGAACATCTAATGATTGCTGAATATTTTTGAGTCATATCTTTTAAGTATTTTTATATAGCCTTGTTAAAATTTCAGGTTACTTTTTTAAATGGGTTGAAATTAATGAAGCCTTAACATATGTGAAGATAGGCAACATAAGAGAGTAGGAGAATGAGGGAGTGCCGGAGAGATTGCTGATCTTGTAGAGGAACTGGGTTCCATTTCCAGCACCCACAAGTTGGCTCACAGTATTTGAAAGACCGCTGCTTGTAAGGATACACGTGCTTTAGCTTAGGAGGCAATAGGATGCATGCTGGTTTGACTGCAGCCTCAGCTATGCCTTTTTCCAATCGTAGTATCCTCAAACAGTCCCAAAGCCCCCATACCTAGATTTCCTCCAGGAACAGGTCTCTAATACTGATTTTATGTCACAGCTGGGCATCATAATTATTTTGCTTTTAGCACTACTGTTTTTGAAATAGAAATCAGTTAAACCAGCACAGTTCACTTCTCTAAAGGAATCAGAAAATGCAGCTCTTCAGATTCCCTTATTGTCAGTAGCCAGGTTCACAATATTGTCAATGCAAAGCACAGTGAGTAACATCCAACTTGTTTTGGATTTTTATAATCCTGCCCTTTTCTACCCTCCTATTTCCTTGTACATTTTTGAGGACGTTTAAATGGCTTTAATAGTTTTTAGACTAATGCAGGCTTGTGCTCCCAACTACTTGAGAGACTGAAGTCAGAAGATTGCAACTTCAGTGCTAGCTTGGGCAACTCAGTGAAACTTTCTAAAATAAAAATTCCAACAAAGGCTAACAGTGGAGTAGAAGAACATTTGACTGGCATGTGCAAAGACTCGGGTTCAGTCCCTGTACTGGGGCAAAGCAAGTGCTTGGTCTTGAACAAACAATCTTATTATATTAAAATTGGGCTCAAGAGAATCTGAATAGTTTCAATGGAAAGCCAGCCAGTGAACTCTTTGTATTAAGTGTGTGTCCTGATGAGACAAGTCATTACACTTTCGTACCACCAAACCTCAACGACCCTGCATTTCTGTGAGACTCTTCAGCCAGCACTCAGGTCCTTCCTTAAGCATGATTCTAGCTTGTCTTCCCATTCTTGAGTATGATCCAAGACTCTTGGGAGCAGAACCATTTGCTGCCAGTGCATATCCATTTGCTGCCAGTGCATATATTCTGCTTCCCTTTTTCTGGTGAGTTTCTTGCTGCTGGAAAGGTTGCTCTGTCTCTCTGGGTCCAGTTTAAAAGCTGTCACCTTCAGACTGGTAGAGATCCTCACTTCATTCATCCTCCTTTCCTCATTTCACCCTCAATACTTAGTGACTGCTACAAGATTTCATGCTCCTATTATAGATTTTGATTGATTGTTGACGTGTTTCTGACCCATTTAAAAACCTCCCACAGGGGGCTGGAGAGATGGCTCAGTGGTTAAGAGCATTGCCTGCTCTTCCAAAGGTTCTGAGTTCAATTCCCAGCAACCACATGGTGGCTCACAACCATCCGTAATGAGGTCTGGTGCCCTCTTCTGGCCTGCAGACATACACACAGACAGAATATTGTACACATAATAAATAAATAAAATGTTTAAAAAAAAAAAAAAACCTCCCACAATTCCTTGCCCATCACAAGTTTTTAATGCATGCTCATGAAAATATTAAACTCAGAAGAACATACTCTTTCTAAGAAAGGAGAGATCCGGGCAGTGGTGGAGCACGCCTTTAATCCCAGCACTCTGGAGGCAGAGGCAGACGGATCTCTGAGTTTGAGACCAGCCTGGTCTACAAGACCTAGTTCCAGGACAGGCTCCAAAGCTACAGAGAAACCCTGTCTCGAAAAACCAAAAATAAATAAATAAAAATTTAAAAAAGTAAAAAATAAACAAAAACAAAAGGAGAGATATGATCTATTATTTTCTGAAATAGAAATAAAATGTTTAAATTGTTGTTTTCTTATAGTACCATTAATCTAATAATGGTGTGAATTGTTGGAAAACAGAACAGTATAGCTAACAGTTATATTAAGGATTACAAATCAGAAATGAAAGATTCTACAACCTAGAGTAACCCCTATAGGCATTTTGGTAATTATCCTAATCTGACCTATTTTCTAAGTGCAATGTGCACACACATCTGTACGCGTGCACACATACACACACACCCTTATGTATGCACTACATGTTCTTTTCATTCAGAAATGTTGATTTGCATGCAAACTGCATTACAGCTCCTTTTTAGTTCATTATAAATTGTGCCTTTCCCTGTAAATAAAGAATTCATATCTTTCTTCAGTTGTCCCCTAGTACAACTTGAGAATTTTAATCTCCTGTAGATATCTTACTGTCTTAAACGCTACTGTGGTAAATTACTAAAAGGAGACCAGGTGAAAGTGAGCTTTGAAGCTGATCTAGCATGTGTGTTGCTCAGTTGTCACCACCCTGGACGGGGTGGTTTAGATGAACTCCTTTCTGTGCTGTATGAAAGCCACACCTGCTTCCCCTGCCCCTACCAGCCTGGGAGGGACGGTGGTGTTTTTAGTGTCACTGCAGACTTTTTGTCTCCCCGTGCTCTGCACTGTCTTAGGCTTGTCTATATCCAACACGAAAGATGAGAGGTAGACATTTCCTAGCTAATGTTCCTAGGTTGTGAGCATGGAAGCGTGGAGACATGGGTAGCTTTTGTCTATGTAGATATTTGCCATTTAGTTTTAATAATGCAGTTTAGTTTTCATCAGTTAAAAGGAATTTGGTGAATAGTATAAAACTAAGATTTTTTTAATACTGTTTAAGTTTCTAAAAGTAAAGTCTATTTTTTGAGGGCTTGCCTGTTAGCTTATTTAATATTTTATCAGTTTAGCAGAATCTTTACAGTAGTGAAGTGGTTCTCAACTTTCCTAATTCTGTGACCCTTTAATACAGTTTCTTATGTTGTGGTGACCCCAACCTTAAGATTATTCTCGTTGGTACTGTATAACTATAATTTTGCTACTGTTATGAATCATAATGTAAATACGTTGGAGACAAAGGTTTGTTAAGGGGGTCAAGACCCACAGGTTAAGAACCACAGATTTAGAGACGGCGAAAACGGATGTAAAGATGAGCCACTGACCCTAGCTAGAATGACACTGAGAAGGATGGGGTCCAAATAATCTTTTGCTTGGTACCAAACTGGTTATGAAAAGAGACCAAAGTACATAAAGAGTGCCATTATTTATTTGTGTTGAGTCTGTCACCTCTCTCCCAGAGTTGGAAGAAAATATCAAATGTAATTTGATAATGGGTTAATTTGATTTGGGATATTTTCAGTTAAAGCCACATTTGCAATTAGTATTTTCAGAAAGCACTTCTAATCAAATTGGAACTCAGAAAAGTGAGAGATTGAACTTTGAAACCATAGCTACGATAGATCCGATGGGAACCCCAATTTTATCTCCCTTGTCTCCTTGCCAGTGTCCTGCACGTCTCTCGGATTCAGAGAATGAAGAACCTTCTCGGGGCCAAATGATACAGACACATCGCTCGGCCTTTGTCTCCAAGAACAGCTCCTACTCCTTAGCTTTCCTGGCAGGGTAAGAGCTGAATTCAGAGTTCTTTCATGTTGGGTGACAGGGTCTTCGGACAAGTAGCGGGAGTAAAAAGAGATGATATTATTAATAGATTATAGCTGGATGGTGGTGGTGCACGCCTTTAATCCCACTCTCTGGAGGCAGAGGCAGCAGATCTCTGTGATTTTGAGGCCAGCCTGGTCTACAGAATGAGTTCCAGGACAACCAGGATTGTTATGCAGAGAAACCCTGTCTTGAAAAAGCAAAAAAAAAAAAAAAAAAAAAAAAAGACCAAGTAGATTACAGAGGTGTGTGTGTGTAAGGTTAACCTCCATGGTGTTCCTCAGGAGCCATCTACCTTGTTCTTTGAGACAGGGCACCTGATTGGCCTGAAACTTGGCAAGTGGGCTAGGTGAGCCTCAGGAGCCCAGGACCTGCCTGTCCCCACCTTCCTAGCATTAGGATTGCAAGTGGTCTTTGAAATCAACCTCAGTCTTCTATAAAAATTCAGAAGCTAAGAAAAGTCATATTTACTCATTTCTGGCATCCTCTAGGTAGGATTACGTTAATTTCGTATCTGCAAAGTGTGAACCTTTCTCCTATGGAAATGACAAGTCTCCTTCGGTTTGACAGTATCTGTAGACTCTCCCTCTGGACTGTAAGACTCTTAGAAGGAGTGAGACTGGGTTGTTTCCTTTCCTTGCCTACACCTAGTTTCAGGAAGTTTTTAAAATCCTGGTCAAGGAATTTCTGGGTCCTTTAGGCTTTGCAGGTCCTGGGGAGGAAAAGAAAGCAGGATTGGATGGCTGCTTGACCCTGGAGGAATACAGAAGGGCAGGCAGTGGGCAGGCAGTGGGCAGGCGGCAGGTAGTCGTCATTTGTTCAGTAGACGTTTTGGAAGTGATTCAATGCCCTCTTCTGGCCTCCTTGGGCACCATGTGTTATACAGTATACATGCAGGCAAACCACCCACACAAAAAGTAAGTATAACAAAAAGTATAAAGTCATAATACAAAAGATAAAAATCATGTGTTCTGGAAAACTCGGGAAACTCAAATGTAATGAGTTAGCAAGAGACTACACTTAATTTTGACTACCTAAATAAAAACACAGAGCATTGTGGTGCATCTTCCTAAATGCTTCTTTTTTGTTTTTTTTCTTTGTTTCATTGCTGCCTTAGATTGCTTGCAGAGAGGTGTGGGTCTGATAGGAAGAACAGGTTTTATTTGTTAGGGAACTGTATACTGTACACATCTTCTGAGGGAGGTATAGGGAGGTAAAATACCCCCACTCTCTAAGCCTGGCAGACAGCCGTCTTCTCTGCCTCACTCGAGGCAGGGTCTGAAAACAAGCCTGAACTAAGTGTCCTGTCTTTCTTATTGGTGTTTGGTTAATAAGTTAACCTGTTTTCTATTATAGCTACCGAAGGGTTGTCTTTCTTGGTGAGTGGCTTAGAATGGTAAGAGACTGTCATCTTTTCCTAAACTCACGTAGGGGCTAATCGTAACTAAATATTCTTTTTATAGGAAGCTAAACACCAAGGTGCAGAGGAGTCAGAGCTGCAGTGACACGGTTCAGGACCGAGTGAAGAGCAGGCTCAGAACTGCTCCACCCAACAGAGCCAAGGTACACCTCAGCCTCAGGCTCACCCAGCAACACACACATAGCTTCCCCTGCACCAGGCAAAGTACGTTAGTTGCACAGGATTAGGATCCTATAGACAGAGATGAAGGAAGAAGGTTCAAATTAGTAGACAGAGTTGGGGGGTATTACACCATTATAGATAGATACCTTTTAAGTAGGTCTCGGTGAGACCCATCTTCAGATTTTAATGTTTCTAATTCCTTAATGTGTGTGTATGTGTTTTAAGCTAGGATTTCCCTATTTTTTTAAGGTACACTTTACCCTTCTCCCTTCCTTCCCCATCTTCCCACCATCTAAAGGATTTATGTAGAAACAAATACATACATGAGAGAGCTGGAGGGATGGCTCAGCAATGAAGAGCGTTTCTGCTTGCAGAGTACTAGACTCACATCAGTCAGTTGCTTCCCATAATTCTAGCTCCAGGGGATCCAACACCCGCTTCTGGCCTCTGTGGACACCGGCACATGCATGTGCACACAGACACACATGATCTTTTATATTTCTTTCAGGTCACAACTATAACTCCAGGCTCCACCCCCATTATTGGTGTTCTCTTGTCCACTCAAAACAACCGCTGCCTCTCAGCTCCTGACTTAACCATAGAAAAGCGCCTGCCCTTCAGCTCCCTTTCATCCTTGACTTCTTTGCATAAGCCAGAGCGCTCTATCAGCCCTGAAAGCAACGACAGCATCTCTGAAGAACTAAACCACTTCAAGCCCATCGTCTGCTCACCATGCACCCCTCCCAAAAGACTCCCTGACGGCCGTGTGCTAAGTCCTCTCATCATCAAGTCAACACCTCGTAACCTGAACAGAAGCCTGCAGAAGCAGACTTCCTACGAGGCTAGTCCACGGATCCTCAAGAAGTGGGAACAGATCTTCCAGGAACGGCAGATCAAGAAGACCCTTTCCAAAGCCACTCTCACCTCCCTGGCCCCTGAAGGATGGGAGGAGTTACCAGGCTCTGAAGCTATTCATTCTAGCAAGGAGAGGCCGCCTCTGGCTCTAAGTACAAAACTGTCCAGAGCCCAGGTGCTCTCAGAGTGTGCTGGGCCCACATCTACTACCCTTGAATATTTCCCTTCTGTTAACCAGACAAAAGCAGAACAGGACTGTGTTAGAAAAAGGAGCCATGAGGTTCCAGTGGAATCCTGCCATTCCTCAGAGTACAGAGTTGTAGCCAGTGGGCCTTCTTTGGAAGGGGAGCAGTCTGAAGACTCAAGGTCCACCCTAGATGCCACGTTAGACAAAACTTGCACGAGCACAGTCATGAAGACTTCAGCAGTTAATTCAGTGCTACCCAAAAATGATGTTTTGGGTGGGGTCCTCAAAACAAAGAAACAGCTGAAGACACTTGGTCATTTTGATCTGGCCAATGGCATTCTGGTTGACAGCCTAGGAGAGGAGTCAATTCCTTCCTTGCGTAGGGGCCGGAAAAGACATTGTAAGACCAAGCACTTGGAACAAAATGGTGTTAAGAAACTGCGACCACCCAGCAGTGACATGGGCCTGGCCCCCAAAGACCCAGGACTGCTTGAGGTGGGGCGGAAATGGCAGCAGGAGGATGCGGGCCCGATGGCTATCCAGTCACAGTGCATATTTGACGGTGAGAGGCGGACTGTGAGCCGGCGGAAAGGAAACATGGATCAGTATCTCTTACGGTCCAGCAGCCTGGCTGGGGCCAAGTAGCACTTACTGAACAATGTAATGTTACGGCTTCTCAGAGGCCTTGGCCTCAGTCATTTATCCAAAAGAACTAGCTGAATGGTCTCACTTTGAGTTTCTTTCGATGGCAAAACACTGTCTAATACGGTTCTGAGGGGCTTCAGGACCTTGGTAATCAAAGCCAAGGGTCTGTATCTTGGGCTCTCTAGGACCTGGGCCATGCTTCTCACCCCCCGAGTGAGCCAACTCTGAAGGCTGCCAGGCCCAAACCTGGCAGCACCCACTTGGAATGAGATTGAGATTGGCCTCATTCATGAACGTGATGGCCAGAGTGAGAGACGGCAGGGAGAGAGTACCTTCTCACACTCGTGAGACCCCCCAGCTTCTTACGACAGAGTAGTGTTTAAGTCAACCTTGCAGATAAAGATCCACTCTTCAGAGACAAGCAGTGCAGTGCTTGGGAAGATCCGAGATGAACAGCACAGGTGATCATGTTCGTCTGTCTTCCCTGTGTGACTCTGCATACCTAAATCAGTTGAGCTTAGAACCTTTGCTTCTCCACAAGTTAATTTGCATTCCCTGTTTAAACTATGACATTTGACTGATGCTGTGATTGACACCTGGTCTTCTTGGTATCAGCTTGATGAAGCTGCAGTGCAGGTGTTGAGGTTCTCAGCTGCCGAGTGGTGTCGCCCAGGCTGACCACTGTGTCTCCTGGATTCTCCACAACCACAGGGTGCCTGAGGGCATGCCTGCCAGGGCGGCCTAGGGACTGGCTGGGCACTGGGTGTGACAGTGCAAAGCCCCCCGCGGAGCAGTTAACATTGCTGGGATGTAAACGGTAGAACTGCGGTGGCTCACCTACCCCGTTTACAGGCTCTGCTTCCCTAGGAGTCCTATCCTGAGACAGCTATAAGGTTTTCTTACTACTTTCCACTTGGCAATGGCTATCTGAAATTTTGGTCTAAAAATCATGAAAAACTTGCCCCAGAGTCAGGCAAAGGTCAATGCTGAGACTCCCATACTGTGGAAACAAGGTATCTAGCTGGATGCAGCTGGTAAATTCAGTCCCATGGACCTTTGGGGTTTATTTTTCTTAGCAGCTGACACCATGTGTCTTTTGCATCCCTGGTGGTGCTTGGTGCTTCTGCCTTTCTGGGCTCAGTGAGAATAGGGATTCTGATAGGATTTTAGGGACTCTCAGGTGGGCTGGCGTTCCCTTTGTATGAGCTGTTACCATAGTCATGTGACTGGCATTTTAACAGACCTTCCAGAGCTTCTATACCTACCCTATGCAGTCTCCCTTGAAAGGTCCCAGCAGGATACTGCGTAGTTCTCCAGTGAGTTGCCTTTGATCAGAGAGTTTCTGAAACAAAGTGTAGAAATAGCTAGAGGATAACCCCTCCTCAGTGGCTGAGAGAGGTTACCTGTAGTGCTGTTTCCTCGGGGCAGATGTCAGTTTTGGGGATTGTAGGAGACAAAACCTCAGATTTGGAATTAGCCCAAAGGTGGTTGAAGCTCCTAGGGAGGGGAAGGAGCACATGGAGTCCCAAGAAAGCTGTCCCTTGGAGCAGACAGAGCTCTTTCTCTGCAGCTCAGAACTGACTATTCCCGGGGATGCTGGATGTGTGTGGCCATCGCCGAGATAGGTGGCTTCAGGGGAGTCCTGGGGTGTGGTGTGTCTCTAAAACATGCGGTAGTCTCGTTATACTCATACCACTTTACTTCTTATGTTAGTGCCCAATAGGAGGGCTGGCCCTGGGCTGCAGATACAGGAGATTCCATTAGAGAAAACTTGGAAATTTTTGCCATTTCATATATTTGTTTTATGATCTTAGTTATTATTGGAAGGCTAGTCTTACTAGGTAGTAGCAAAGACACTTATTTTTCCACATGTCACCCTTTTATATGCCATTGGCCATTAGAAAAACACTTTCAGTTGGAGTTAATTTTTGGTTTTGGGAAAAAGAAAATATTTTTAATAGATGAGAAATATATATTTTAAATATCCCCCCTGCCCCTAGTTACTGCCTTGACTCTAAGAGTGTGCACAGCAGTGATGACAAGCGTACCTGCAGGTGCGGTGCTGCGGAACAGTGTACACTGAGGAGGAAAGGCTTCCTTTTTAGTCCGCTTAGCTTCGAAGGTGGGAAAACTACTGAAGCACTGCATGCAAGGTGCTCTCGCATGTGGTCACTGGAGCCCCTCACAGCTACAGCTGTTGACTCGGGAGAACTGGTGGGCTAGAGGGAAAGACATCACTTCACAACCCTCGTTCTGCTGTGCTCCTTCTGTATGTGCATTCCGCTTGTTTTCTTACTAGAGTAAGAGGAGGGTGAGTCTTTCTAAGAGATGTGCCATTCCTCAAGAGGGTTGGTAGCCCTTCTCCAGAAAGGTAACCTTAGTGACATTCCTGAGTAGCTGAGTACCTGTTGGGAGAAGTCATCTGGACCAGATGGATTGGTATCAAGTCAGGGATTATTCAACCAGCAACTGACCTCTATCCCTTAGTTACCTCTTGTCTAGGAATTCTTTCCTAACTGACCTTATTTGTTAAAAGAAACAAAACAAAAAATCCAAAACTTTCTTTTGTGGGGAGAGTATACTGGTCATAAATGTCCCTTACTATTTTTTAAGGTAAAATGCCCCTCAGAGAGTAAAGCTATTTCATTAATTATTGTCTGGTTACAAACTAGCCACTGACTAACATGGGCAGCTGCTGATTGAAGGCTGTGTTCATTCAGTAGGCGCATTTGAGCTCTTAGACCACCCCACCCTGTGCTGGACCATAGGATAGTCCCCGTTAGGAGGGGGGCGTGTCTAGTGCACTGTGCGTGCCCGTGTGTTCGGCCAGAGAGTGTGTTAATGATCTCTGGACAGCCATTTCCTCTGTAGCAGAGAGAACTAGCACTTAGCCTGCCACCAGCAACATTTCCCACTCCTTGTCAGTATTTATGAGCTGGTTAACTCTGCCTTTTCCCGCTTCCTAAGTAACTTTCTCAGGGAAGAGTGGATGTTCTGCAGTGGTTATAGAACAGTCACCTGTTCAGAAGCTGCATTTACATCAAGTCCTAAGAAATGAGGCAGGTCTGGATCACTGGCAGGGCCAGAGAAGCCCATTCTTCATTTTAGTGATCTCCTAATGCATTCCCCAAGCTGACCTCTCACCAGAACCGGCAGTGACCTGGGGTTTCTTCTTCCTAGCTTGTCACTGAAGTGGAGAGCCATCAGGAGACGGTAGAGGCTAGCTCATCATCGTGGGATATTAAAGCTGGACCAGCCCCAGCCCCACTTTAAATGAAGACCCACTGTTCTGGTTTCTGCTGTAGTTTTTCTAGGGCAGAATAATAGTGAAAGTCACACAATTTGTGAATGAAGGGGACACCCAAGTGACAGAGGTTTTAGAATGGCTGTTTTGTTTCTTTCAATTAAGTTGTACCTATATCCCCTGAATATGTCCATAATATACAGAGTACTTAATAGGGAAAACCCCATAGTGTGAACTAAGTAATAAGTGGAATTTTGTTGTAGTTATTTTAATTACAGCCTTTGCTGTTTCTTTCAGAATAAAATTCCTTAGGGTCTTACACCTTTCTTAGCCAGCCCTTTGCTCCTCAACCATAGGATGCTCCCTAGACTTAGCGTTTAGAGAGGATGGAACTGGTTAAAGTCTCATGACCCAGGAGGGTGTGAGGACTAGGCTGCTGCACACATTTTCTTTGATGACCCAGAAATGCACCTTTCACCATAGCATTCTGAAGACTTCTGTAGAAGACATGTAGGAAGGAACACACAGAGGTGTCAACTTAGTCAAAGTGGATGGTGGAAGAGGCACCAAAACCCATGTGACCAGACTGCTCTGTGTTTGCCAGTTTTTCTTCTGAGGGGCAAATATACTCTTGTGTCCCCTTTGGGGCGTCTCAGGTCCAGAAGGAGTTAGACAAAGCCATGCTAAGATCAGGTTTGCTCCTCTCCCTTCCCTACCACCAAGTATGAGCAAAAGACAGTGCAGGCTTCAGTGTTGAGCTGTGTAGGGTGTAGCCTTCTGGTGCCAGATTCTTGTAGCAGCCGTCAGTTCTCCCTAGCTGCCACTTGCCCTCCAAGCTGAGATTCCAGTTTGCATCAGACATGACCATCAGCCCTAAGCTCCAGCAAAGCAAGAAACAGATACTATGCAAGACAAGTGGGTGTTCTTTTTCTCCCTTCTCCCCTCTTCCCCCTCCCTCTCTCTCTGCACCTGATACACTGTTTACTCTTAGCTGTACAGATATAGTTGTCTTAAGAGCCAAGTACCAAACCTTTCCACCTAGAAATATAAAATGGTTGTCTGTTTGGTTTTAGGCAATCTGCTATAGCTCCTTGTGATCTGGTGGTTGTGACTTACTCAACCTGTTTACATTAGGATTGGAGAAGGGGCCCTGCATCCTGGTGGACTGCCACTGCTGTCTGTAACCCCTTGACTCATAAAGAGCCTTTTGACAGAGGACTTGGGACAAGGTATGCCCTGTCAGGGATGCTTTTCGCCACAGTGAAATGGTGTGGAATTGAGTGGGAGGTTGTACAACTAAAACAGAACCAAAGTGCATTCTTCATGTGTATGCGCCTGTTCCAGGCGAGGCCCAGGTTGGAAATGCAGTAAAGCAGACTTATGAAAGCAAACAGTCTACTTCTGGTTAGTCTCGAGAGACCTGCGTCTGACAGTGTGGACTAAGCTCAAGGCAGGTGTTTGGGTGCTGTCCTGGGGCAGGGAGGTACCTGGGATGGAAAGGCACTGGGGTGCGGTCTCCACAAGGAATAAGTATACCTTTTGATGTATTCTAATGGACAGTATTTAGTTTCCTGACCTCTTGTGATCATCCCTACTTCTCTGAAGACACAGTTTGCATAAAGAATGACTTGTGGGATGCCATCGTCCTTGCCCCTTACAGCTGTACTTAGAAATACGATTGTTAAACATACTCTTCTTTGGAACCATTGCTCAGAAAGACATAAAAAAAAAAATACCTTTGACATGAGTTTTTCACTGAACATAGAACAAATGTTAACCTGTTTCTCTTAAACTCAGAAAATGAACCTGGAAGACTCTGCAAGCCCATGTGGGACCTTCGAAGACCTTCAGCCCAAGGCCTTCAAGGGAGATTTGAAAAGCCAGCGGAGATTTGAAAACAGTACTCGGTCCCTATAGTAGCAAGATGCTCAACGCACTGTTAATTCCCCTGTAACTAGGTATGGTGGGTGTCCTCCTTTACAGATGGGAACTCCAGCACTGGCAGTGCAGAGCCTAGGTGCTGGGCCCTCTGACCCCAAAGCTGCTGGTTACCTCTTGTACTGCTGTAGCCTCAGATAACCTTGCAGTGCAAACCTCTACCACTGGCCTTGGAGAACAGTATGGCTCCAGTTGCTGTCTGGACTGGAACTGGTTGGGCAGGTGACAGGTGTGAGCATAGTCTGCTTCTCCATCTGTGGGTTCTGATTGCTCACTAGCATTCTGGGTGACTAGACGATTCAGTTTGAGTTTGTGGAGACAGCAGGATCAGGAGTTCAAGGTCATCCTGGGCTACATAAAATTCTGTCAGAAAATACAAAATGAAAACCATGAGCCATCTTACCAAGTCTTACTAGAGTAGTAGCAGAGCTGGGGTACAACATAGTGGCTTCCTGCTAGGGTTCAGTCAACATTTTGTTACATGTATGGAAAAGGGGGCTCATGCTTGAACTTGCTGTCTATGAAAGTAGCCTGTGGGGTAAGAAGCCAAAGTAAGGAACTCAGAATGATCAGAAACTTAGCAAGGAGAGGCAACCAGCTTGTTCAAGGGAGAGAAGGTGGTGCTTGGCCCAGACAAGTGTGCCCTCTTTGGAATGCCCTCACACTGGTTAAGGGACTGCCATGGGGGTACAGAGAGCAGACCTGGAACTGAGGGACATAGGCAGTCAGGCTACATAGTCCATTGTAGCATAACCATTAAAACTGCCATCCTTCAGAGTCTGAAGAAGCTGGGTTGGAACAGAGTGTGTGTAGGTAAGCAGGTAATAGGGTCCATTCTTGAGAATATGTGGCAGGAACACATCTGGCGAAGGGAGCAGTCTAGGAGGGTCTCAAGTGGAACCTGGTGGGTTGACAGTGTCACTGTCAGGGTGGCTTCTCCTAACAACAAAGGGAAGATGGACACTTAGAAACTCCTGAAAGTCCATTCTAGCAAGCCAAGCACAAATGCCCTGAATGTGGCTGCTGCTGTGGGTCCCTGAATTACCTGTATCTGTCAGACGTCCAAATGAGCTAACCACTTTGTCACCTGGTGTGGCCTGCATAGTGAGGTACATGCACATGGGCATTGACTATGATCGCAGCTTAGGGTAAGCACTTTAGCTATTTACATGCCTGTGAAGTTGAGTTCAATAATGTGTAAATGGTTGTGATTTGGATTTGGGGCGTCTACCTTGCTGAAGGCCAAGAAGCATTCTTCGACCCCGGGGACTGCAGCTCTGATGCCCCAATCTGAAGTAGCCGTCCTCAGGAGAGAAGTCTTAGGTCCCACACAGCATAGCCCTGTTGGACTTCTCCAGACCTTCCTGGGTTAGGTGCTGCCTACTGGGCACACACCAAGAAAGCAGCAACCCCAGCCCAGATGTTTGTATTCCTGTCTTCAGCTTGTGTCCTGGATTATGGGACCCTGGGAAACTAGCTCCTCCCCCTTCTACCAGCCATTATCTCAAAAGGGACCATTCCATCATCTTTCACGCTCACAATGGAAAAAAGCTTCCTCACGGGAAATCTGTCTGCCTGGCCTGGGTCCTCTGCTTTGGTACCCTGCCTCTTGCTGGCTACAGCCCACTTAACTTCTGAGCTTTCTGTGCTACTTCTCTGTCTCAGCACTTATTGAAGCTGTCACGAGCGACTCAGGTGGGTTTCTCATAGCCCTCTGGGATGCAGGAATCAGTGGAGATTTTTCCTTAGTGACACCACCACTGTGGCCCTGACCTGGCTTCCAAGAATACTTGGTACCCACTGTATTGCTCTATGCATCACTCTTTATTGCTGCTGGGCCAGCCACCAGGTGTAGCTTGGCCGGGCTCGGAGGCGAGGTCCTGCCGAGCTCCACATGCTGACCACGGAGCGAAATGGAGTCCAAGCCCTCTCTGTTCAGGGCAGGGCATAGTCCAGGGCAAAGAGCCCCTGGGGAGGGCGGTGTGAAGCTCTACTCTTTCGAGTCGCTGGCCGTGGGCTCCTGGCAGAACTCGTCCATGAACTCGAGGAAGCGGCCCAACTTGGGCTGGCCTGCGCTCAGTGCGCGACGGGTGGGCGGCCTGGGCGGCGGGCTGGCGGTGAACACAGTCCGCAGCGAGCTGCGCACCAGCTGCCTGTAGCGCGCGCGGAACTCCTTTAGCAGCCGCTTGGCCTCTCGGTACTGTTTCCGGTTCACCAGGCGCTGCTCTGCGCGCCGCTGCAGCACCGCGCCTGCAGGGACCAGAGTGGACAGGGCCAGGCTCGCCGGTTCCTCAGGCCCAGAGATAGACAAAGTATGTTGGTGTGTGGAGGCAGTACAGCCCCGACAGTGGGAAGTCATGCCTTAGTTCAAAACCCGAAGGTGCCCGGTGACATGGGAGCCTCGTGCCTGTCCTGCATACACTGTAAAGGGCTTGGGAAACCCCACTTTCCACATCCTCCCTCCTAGTTTCGTACCAGCCCTCCCTAGTAGACACCAGCCTTGATGGGACAATGGCACCATACCCAGTGGAGCTTCAGTGACGTTCCGAGGGTCCCGCATGCGAATGAGGATGTCATCCAGCAGCTGCGCTTTGGTCTTCCGTAGGGGTGGTATTGGTATCCTCGCAGCCTGGCACAAGGTAAGGAGGTCTGTCATGTCATGCACTCATAGCGACAGGCAGGGGGCAGTAGGGAGTCCTGGGAAACGGGCCTCAAGGTCCCAAGGTGGAGACCTCAAAACTCAGGAGCACAATCAGTGGCTGAGGTGCTTACCCGCTTCTCTTTGGGTATGTAGGGTTTCTGGAAAGTGTCCAGCCTGGGCTTGGAGGAACGGCAGACAAGCGGCTGCTTCAGCATGCGGTGCAGGGCCTGCGCGTTCTTCTGGATGCCTAGCAGAGAAGGCAGAAACAGGTGTCGTCCCTGACCCTGCTCAGTGCTGGGAAAAGAACTGCAGAGCCCAAGAAAGCCATTTACCAGGGCTTTCTGATCTGCGGCCTCCCCACCCCCACCCCAATGCTTCACCATTCATTGCAAGAAATGTCCCTGTGAGCTCAGAGCCTGATGTGGGAAGACTTTGGGCCTCACAGTGATTCCATAAACTCGGGGGTCACATGATAGGAGTGACTCCCAGGAGACTGGCTCCCAGCAGGCTCTTTGGGAGGCACAGATACTGTTGTCACATCAGAGTAAATAGAATCATAGATGAGAGGGCACTGCCTCTGCTGCCCCAAACCAGGTGGGGAGGGTTTGGGATGGTCTTCTGGGCCTTAACAGAGGCTGGTGAGAACTCAGGAATCTGGCTTTGTTTGCTCATTAACCCTTCTCTATGAGCAATTTTCCACCCAGGCTGACTGGGCTAATCCAGGCAGTCTTTGAAAAAAAAACCCATGACCCAAAGCAGTGAAGGTTCAGCAAAGGGCAGTGTGATGCTGCCGTGTACTAAGAACCCCCTGGCAGACAGTCACATGGAGTCAGCATCAGCCTTGGCCTGGCGTGGCCTGCTCTGGGCTGAGAGGATGTCCCTAGCCCTGACATACCCTTCGGCTCCACAAAGGTAGGATCAGGCTTGGCTGTGAGCAGCTCCTCATAGCCATTATACTTGTTGGACATAGGGGCAGACGGCTGCTTCCGCCGGGTCCTCTTTGCCTCTCTGGGTGCAATTAGTGGTCTCTTTTTTGCATTCTCCTTCGCCTCTAACTTTTCCCTGTGGACGGTGGAGGATGGCAGTTCATTCACCTGTGCCAGGAAGAAAACACACTCACTTGTTTCCTGCCCAATCCCAACATGAGCTCTGCACAGCTCATGTGTTGGGCCCTCATAAGGGAGAGCTGAGGCATGGAGGAGGCCGAAAGAATAGGTGGTGTGTGCAAACAGGAGCAGGCCTGGGCTCCCAGCCATGACAAAGGGCAGTGGCTGCAGCAGTCAAGGAGCAGCGTGCACACGTAAGAGCAGCGCACCTGACAAGTGGCCTGGTGCTGAGCAAGGCCCGGGAAGGACCGTCGAATGCCACGCTCAGGGTGCTTGTTTTATATTCTTATTCTCACTTTGAGGTAAGCCAGGAACATTTTGACTACCCAAATAGTTTTTATACAGTACAGGACGCCCTACCCATGTAGGGATGTTCCGGGGGACCCTGCCAGTTCTTCTAGCCTTATAGAGGTTGAACAATCTTTACATGAAATGCCCAGGAGAAGAAGAACGTTTATATTTTAGAATATTTACATGACAAGATGAGATGCCTTGGCACAAGACCCAAGTCTACATGTAAAATTTGTTGATGTTTTATGTATATTTTAAATACATAGCCCTAAGGTAATTTCATATATCTTCAGTGATTTTATGCATGAAACGAAAATTTCATGATGTGGAATTTTCCTCTTGTGGACATGTTGGCACATAAAAAATTCAGAATTCAGAATTATCTGGGATTTGAGTCATTCACATTGGGGATTTCCTTTCTCTACACCACCAGTGGTTCTCAACCTTCCTAATGCTGCAACCCCTTTAATACAATTCTTTGTGTTGTGGTTACCCCCAAGCATAAAATTGTTTTTGTAGCTACTTAGTAAGTATAATTTTGCTACTTATGAATTATAAGTATGTAAACATCTGTGTTTTCTGATGGTCTTAGGTAACCCATGTGAAAGGGTTGTTTGACCCCAAACGGGTCATGACCCACTGGATATTCATAGTTCCATTTGAATTTCTTCCCCTGCACCACACTTCCTGTTCTCTTTGCCCATATCTCTACCTTGCTAGCGTTTCCATGGCCCTCCTGGTTTGGAACAGAGGCATCCTTCCTCAGGCCTGGTTCCTGAGTTCCCCCAGTCTCAGCACAGATGGCAAGTTCTGTTCCTGTCAGCTTTCCTTTTAGACCATAAGCACCTCGAAGATGGTACCTGTATCTGAGCCACCTTTGTTCCCAGGACCCAGGGCAGCATGAGAAGGGAGGTAACTTTAGCAAAGGTGCAGTAGTGACAAGCCTCTGCCAACCGGCCAGCACCACATCCCAGGAAGATCCGAGGTGCTGTCTGTGCCACAGGGCTACTAGTGTCCTGTGAAGCCCCTGACCAGAGAGTGCAGTGCAGGTGGCTTGGTGCAGGAACCTGTGGGCACTGCAGCCAGAGGTGGAGGCAGCTGGGGACAAGCACCTGAGTCAGGAAGATGGACTCCGTACTCTTGGCATCATCATCTGATGGGTGGTCTGGGCTCAAGAGGCCAGCTGTACGGCTTGGATGGGACACGGCCTCACTGTGTACGGTGGAGTCAGAGCAGATGGGAGGCATTGGCACAAAGGTCCGGTGAGTTAGGGAAGGGCCTTCTGGGCCCTCAGTAGCCAGCAGTGCCTCATGAGAGGTGTTTTCGATGGAGGGAAGTTCCTCAGCTCCCAGTTCTGGCTCTTGCATAAAACTTGAAGGAGGCTTGTCTGTGGTCATGCTCAGGTGATGGGGGACCAGAGAATGCCTTGGCACTTTGGGGACGTGGGTTTTCACCTGAATGAGAGAAAGGCTGGATTAGATTGGCTCTCTAGATGAGCTGCATGGTGAGAGCAGAGTCTGGGGAGGCAGGAGGGCCACATGTGCCCTACCCAGAGGACACAGCGTCACTGTATACCACCATGGTGGCTTAGTGGGGAGGGCTCTTGCTGCCAGCCTGGAAGGTGAGAAATGGCTCCCACAAGTTGTCTTCTGATCTCTTGCATGGCTTCTGTTGCTCACGTGAGAATCTTATAAAGTACCTAGGAACGAACAACTGGCCTCTTTCCCAGGTACTTGTCCCGGGCTCTAGGCCTCACATCAGGTCAGTGCCACTCTTTAGGGTTTAACAGATGCCTCTCTCTCTCCTCAGGGATTTCTACAGGGATGGGGTGGCCGTTTCCCTAAGCCGTGTTTCTCAGGAGCTGTGGAATTACTTAGCTGGCAGGGCCAGTTACCGTCTTTCCTGCACTGTCTTCCTGTGTAGGGGAAGGGGGAGCGGAAAGAGGGAGGAGGCTGTCCATGCCTTGTTGTCTAGGTTTACAGACTGACTACTGGGCACTGTACTTAGGAGCACGTGGATTCCTTGTGAACAGGGCAGACTACTCCCCACCCCTTCCCTCTTCCACAGGGTGAACTGATGGTCTTCATTCCTGCCTCACTGGGGGCTGACCCCCTGCCCTGGGGGCTAGGCTGGTATAGCTGCCTCTTGTGTGCTCACAGGAAAAATTCTTCAGTTTTCCTCCTGCCCATGCCTTTGTCCAGCGAGTTGAGGAGAAAAGTCCTAGAACTGGCCTGCATGTGTAGCTCCCCTTCTTGGCACACTGCAGACAGGCTGCTGTCTCAGCTGGTGTCAGGCCTAAGCCATGTTCTAGGGCCAAGTTCTGTGTGTGCCTAGATGTACCCCAGTGCTTTGTTGTTCACAGCTGATACTCAGATTACTCAGAACCTTAAAAACAGGAGGAAGGGCAAGGGACACCCTTAACCCAACGCTAACTTGTATCTCGTGAGCTGGTGCACCTCTCTGAGCCTGTTTTCTTGGGAGAAGAGTGAGGACAGAGGTGTGAGTGCCCCGTGGAGTACCAGCCATGGACGATGTAAGAGACAGGCATGTACCCAGCATCAAGCTCACTAACATCCTCCCCCCCACCCCCGCCCCAGATGGTAGATGCACAGGGAGGTGGTAGATTCTCAGAGCATGCCACAGAAACCCTAAGAATGTCGTCTATTTCTGGCTTTAACCCTTGCTCTGCTCCTCTGGGGGCTTAAGAGCTTCATTAACTGAAGCTGCCACAGATGAGGTGGCAAGGGACAGATGTGTCTGTGTTAGCAGACAGGCACTCTTCACAGATTTCCTGAAACTCCTTTAGATCAAGAGATGTTAATTACCAACAAGGTCCCCAGAGGTGAATCTAAGAGCCCACTCGGAGTGAGAGAATCCAGCCTGCCTACGATGGGCTGTGTATCTAGTTCTGGCCACACAGAGCTGTTGCGTGCACCAGGGCCTTGTGTGACTAAGGTCAGTGTAGTTTCATGGCTCCTTCCCTTTAAGCAGTTCTGTGAGGCCCAGAGCTGAGATACCAGCCACTCAGATCAAAACTCTAGTCAAGTTCAGACAGCTGTAGATAGTGAGGGGTCCTAACTTAAAGGCTGATTTCTCCCCCACTTCTTCGCTGGCCCTAGTTTTTCTATAAAATTAGGGGATCACTGACTTAGTGACATCCAAGGCTCTTCATTCTCCCTCTTCTTCTTGAGGACTCTCCGTCTTAACACCCCTGCCTCTAGCTCTGTCTAACAAGAAAGGAAGGCACAGGAGTCAATGGAGAGAGAAGTTCCAGGTTCCAGTTTTGGCTGGGGAGGGGTGTTCTCATACCCAAGCCAGTGCGCATGTTAAAACAGGCTCCACCTTCCCCGGGTCAGGGTCCTGTTGGAAGACTTACCTTTCGTGATTCCTTCCGAGGTATCAGAATATGGTGTTTCGCTTTTACCAGTTTCCTCCGCACTAAGCGGATGCCCAGACGCTCCTGGAGGAAGCTCTTTAGCAGTGGTGGGATCCCTGGTGTTGTGGAGGAAAACAAGATGATTGACAGTTGGCTGTGTGTTCATATTACTTTGTATGTGTTAATGTAATTGTACTTCTCTTTTCAACCCTAGTTATTCCTAGT